TAATAAAACTCCTGTTTAGTCTTCACAAACTGTGGGGATAATCACGGATGTTTTTAATGAGAGAACATAAGGAATTGCCACCTATTTGGTGTTAGTCGTTCATGGTTCAATATAAATTGGTTTATTGTTTAAAAAATAAGATTTTTATCTTAAATTAAAATACATTTAAATTCAATACTATATTATTAACTTAACGTTTGATATTTTACAAATGTATTAAAGACATTAATTGTAATGGGCTTTTTCTATATTATCTAACATATTATGAGTTTTTGTTTCGCATAAATAAAAATTGTGCATTTATAATTTGAAAGTGACAGACTATGCACTGTTCCGTATAAGTACTTACTTAAAGTGGTTATAATTTTTTTTTACCATATCTATATGTTTAGACCTTGAAGATTTTTACCACATACGTACTGTATATCGACATATTACGTACATGTTTTGCCAAATTAAAATTTACGAATTACAGAATTTACAGAATTTTCCGAATTAAGTTTTTAAACGTAAATCTACCAATTACTGTTACGTTTTAAATGTAAATCTACCAATTACTGTTACGAATTGTAGTCGTTTTAGGGTTTTAATGATTGAAGATAGTTCCGGGCGAATATAGGAATCTTTACTCCAACATTTTTTGTATAGTTCAATATATTGTATGGGTGTGTTTTCTGCTGGAATTTCTCTAAATTCATCTACCATTTGCATCCTCCAAAAAATTTCAGACGAAGTCAATAGTTTGAACGGTGGTTTGCCGCTCGAGATCTCCCAAAAAATAACTCCAAGACTGTAAATTTCGGATTTTTTATCATATTTTGAGTCTTTTAAACATCGGGGATCTATATATGCTGGCATTCCTTTAATTTCTATGCATAACGGTGCTGAACCTTCATTAATCTGCCTCGATATACCAAAGTCTATAATCTTAATTTGATTATTATGGACGAGAATGTTTTTGGAGTTCTATCAAAAAAATTAGAATTGTTAATTTAAATAATTAAAATTAGTACGTAGATAAAATAGATATATGCTTACTAAGTCACCATGGACTATATTCTTGTTATGTAAAAACCGAAGTCCTTGTGCAATTTCCTTAGCCATGCGAAATTTATCAATCCATTGTAGACCTTTAAAATTTTCTCTTAAATAATCCTTTAAATCTTTATCAGCATATTGTAAAACCATAAAATAATGTTCTTTCGAAGGATCTATTTTTTTTTTGTGATAATTTGTTAAACAGTAGAGTTAGTAACATTCGTTGATCAGAATTGACGTTCATACGTATAATGTGATTGACTAATAATAGATATTGTGTACATGATCCGATTAATTGAAGTTTTTTTTCGGTTTTGAGATCATGATGCGAAATCAAACACCTTTCTGATTAAGACAATTTTATCAGGCAGACCAATCAATTCTTTGATGAGTACATTGAGAAAGGTGCTTGAGAACGCCCTAAAACACCTATTGCTATAATTGTGTGTGCATATGACGTGAGGTCGTGCAATGCACATGATTTATAACTTATCAGTAAAAAATTTCAACACACTATATATTTCGGTCGGTCTAACATTCGAATAGTAAAACACACGTAAAATTTAGGAAAATATTCAGTAACGACGTACCTTTAGCAACTCCATAAAATGTAATGATGTTAGGATGACCCTGAGCATTTCTCAATATTTCAACCTTATATGAAATTTAGCATATTAGTAATAAGATGCAACTAGATATGGTAAAAAGTCCCCTTGCTAATATTTATTCCGAATATAATAATCACCTGTTTTAAACAGGTGGAAAATATTTCGGTTCCGTTCATTCACCGACAGTATGATTCAACGACAACAATTTACCAACAAGTCCATTTCACCGACAGTACAGACAGTCATTTCACTGGCAAAGTAATTCTGGTCATTGTCGTTAAGGTCAGGTTTAGAATTAGAGTTAAGGTTAGTGTAATTTATAAAAAAAGATTGTACTGTTGGTGAAACGAACTTGTCGGTATCATGCAACCCTGATATATAAACAAGGTGGACAAGCAGAAGTAAAGATATTAATGATGGCATGAAAACATCCCAACTTAGAACTTTTGCATATGAAAATACAGTCGAATGGATTCCATTTGATAGATTATCCGATATTAAGGAATTGGTAAAGGTGGATTCGGCTTTGTATATTCAACAATTAGGTGAATTGATTTCGGTGAAATGAACCGGATCCAAATATTTTACCTCATCGTCGCAAAATAACGCCTCGGGGCGTTATTTCGAGTCACATCATTTCCATAGAGCTATAATTTTGACGATTTTTTAAAAAAATTTATTGCTCGTATTCTTCAAAATTAATTTTTAACTGAAAAATGATGTATCTCGCAATAACGTGGGGGTTATTTCGCAGTGATGCAGTAAACTGCTTTTTTAAGACTCTAAATATCATATAATAAATAAAATTTTTGTTTACCTCGTTGTTGAAATTTTGATTTTGAGTACTATCCCTTAGGCGTTGGTGATTTTGCAACATTTACATTCTGATTTATAAATCACTCCAGAACTACCACTATTAATTTCTATAACTTTATCGAAATCAATACAATCATGCAGCTCATAATTAGTGATTCTGGTCGAGAAAATTTTCATAGGTCGATAAATAATGGTAAGAAAACGTGTTGAGTCGAGTAATCAACTATCAAATTCAGTTGAATGAAAATAATTTTTTCTGATTCATTATATAGTTATTTTGATGATAAGAGCGTATAATTTTATTGTTACGTTTAAGTTGGGGTGTTTGGTCAACATAATACAGTCGGGCACATTACCAAAAATGGGCAATGTAGATCGGCATAGAAATGCAGATCAATTGATTCTTTTTGCTTCGGTTACACGAATCGGAAGCTGAGTTATACACTAATCAGCGAAATAAATTGTAAATTTTGTGCAGAAAAGAATAGTAAAAGTTACAATTTTTTTTGAGTCTTTATACACATTGAAATAAAGGATTGATTTCGATGGGATCAATGTTGATCATGAAACTTTGAAAGTTCAACTTCATATCTATAAAATTTTTGTTATAGTTACCTATTGCGAAAAGCCACAAAATGTAACTGAATTTAGCGAAAAGCAGCCAATCAAATTTCAATGGAACGATCTAGAATCGATTTCCATTTTTGGTAATATGCTTGACTGTAATAAATCAAACATATTTGTAGACCCTTACTAAATCCGTATAATTGAGCTTTTTAAATAATACGATTGGCTAATTTAGAGGGACAGATGCACATGTTGATCTACATACTGCATAACGCGAAAATAAAACCTGTGCTCGGTTTATAATCACGTGATGAAAATCGTTAGAAATTCACTGAACTATAATCCGTGTAACATACTTTTTCATTTTTTAATTTTGATAGTACATAGTAGTGCCAAAGACAGGATCCAAACATTACATTTATTTTATAATTTAAATTTAAAACTTAGTGAATTGAGATTTTATGTCAGCTATATAGACAATATGAATAGTAGGGCTGTTAATTGGTCTGACTAAAACTAATAGACCAACAGTTCGTCTAAGGACCAGGCCAGTCCTGTCTTTTTTAGGACAAACTAAAAGACCATTAGTCCTAATATAGCACTATAGTTAGTTTTATTATTTCTACATATGAGCGAAAATATACTGTGTTTATTAAAACTAGTTTATGTAATAAAATGGTCAAGTCAGATGTTGGTTACAAAACCAATCTTTTATAATAAATTGGTATTCAAACTATGATTAGGGTAAAAAATTCATAATCGATTCGTAAATAAGCTTACAGTTTTATTCTTATTAATCATATTATATCATATATATGTTTAGCTCAAATTTTATTTAACCTTATCACTCAAGTTAAATAAAATATAAAATTGGAGATTTTCGTCTATATAAAAACAACAGAAAAATTACTATTGACCAAAACCTGATGTTGGTGATTTTATTAATTTACTATTTCCTTTTTATAAAGATTTACCCTTGTTCTGGCGATGTATCATCTACAAACCTTATCAAATCATCATTATAATTATTATTTTTTTAGGGTTTTCCTTATTATTGTACACTGCAGATTATAAGAATTAAATATGTTTAAGAGAGAACCAGATTGCATGATCGTGAAGGTCTTGATTTAGTCGTGACTTCATTATAATTTCACAAAAACATAGTAGATTAAACTAGATTTGTCTCTTAAAATAAACATATCAACTAGATAACAATGTAGCCAATTACAGGGATATTTTATTTTATTAAATATTTTATTATACCTGAAATAAAACCCAAAATACTACTCTTCACACAATATTCCTCTGTTTGTATACAGTATATATTTCAATACATGCAATATACAGTATAATTAAAAATTCTCTGAAATTAAATATAATAAAAATTTTAATATAATTTAATTGATTTATTAATCAGTCCAGCTGGTCTGAATATGATCGGTCTTAAAATAGTCTTGGGCTTAGTCCGGTCTAACTTTTTAAAAGACCACAAGGTCTTTGGACCAAGATGGATTGGACGGACTAATTAACAACTCTAATGAATAGATAAAAATTAATTTATATTGGTATGTAAAATAGACACTTAATTTAATAAAGATATAATATTTGTTCATATATTAATAAAAATTTACCTGTAAAAAATAATTTATAATGCACATTAATCATGCTTAAATTTTTCTAATAAAAGACTTTAATATACACTTATCTTAAATTTTCAATGCTCTTACGTATTTTTATAATACATAATCATAAAGGTTACTTTTAATATAGGTCGACAAAGTTTAAAACTCAAACTTATACAATTAAATCATAATTACATTTTTTTCCCATGCTTCAAATATTTAAAAGGAATACAGTAACGTTTGTTAATATTATTCTTTTACTAACAATAGACATTAAAACAGAACCCAGTTTAAGATGTGTTTTCTATAAAATTTTCTTGTAATAATGAAGCTTGACCTAATATTGAATATGAATAAAACAAATATATCAAATATTGAAGTATCTTATGATCTTAATATCATACAAACATCACTTACAGTTTTACAAAAAGCTTTACCTCAAAGCTATAATTATATTATTGATTCATTTGAAGTGGCTCAACCTCATAATTTTTTGGGTGCTTATAAAGAACCATTTATAGCAAAATTTTATATAAATATTTGTACAGTTAATGATATCAAAACATAGCTTGATAAGTTCATGAATTTGCATAAAGTGATTATGCAAAAAACTCAAGAAAGAATTATTAAGAATGTTCATTTTCTTCTTTCTAAATGTTTTTACTGCATACATAGTCATATGGTAAAGCTAAAACAGGGAAAAAAATTTGATGATTTAAGTGTTGACAAAAAAAAATCAACTAGTATACATATGAGAGACACAAATTGTCCAGTAATACTCAGTATACAAGTACAGAACAAACTAGATACTCATTCATGCATAGTGTTTTTATTATTTTATCACAATCATCCTCTTTTATCAAGTCATATTATGAACTTCTGTTCTATATCTAGTAAAACAAAAGAAGCATTCTTTGAGCTTTTTTATATCAAACATAGTCCTGCAAGTGCACATTATATATATTTGGAAGAGATTCAGCTGAAGTATGAAAATGATAAGAAAATTTTAGCAGATCAGGCAATTTGTCCAAACAAACAAAATATTTACTACCTTCATCAAATGTTCCTTGACAAGTCTATCAGCGCAAAGAATAGAAAAGAAATGTTCAATCATTTGGTTAAAGAAGTTATGAAGTTTAATGATAGCAAAAAAGGAAGTGCCTGGATGCAATCTTATGTCATTCCAACAGAATCTGATCCTGAACAATCATTTATTCTCATAATTTTAACTAATTTAATGAAACATTGTTACATTTTGTAACAAGTTAGTGAACTAGTGTATATGGACACAATGGCTAGTCTTGATGCTCTTAATACATCATTAACTATTATTTTAACAAGTATGCTAGTTGGTGGCTTACCTCTAGCTGTAATACTCATATCAGATAAGACACTACAAACTTTCATCAAAGCTTTAGATGTACTAAAGAATATAATGCTATCAGATGCATTTGGGAGACATAGTCCTACAGTTAGGCTGCAAATTATTATGACTGATGATTGTGTTGCAGAAAGAAAAGCACTAAGCTATACTTGGGAAAAGGCAACTTTGTTGTTATGTGTTTTCCATTTTTTGCAAACTGCATGAAAATGGTTGTGGGACAGAAAACATAGTATCCATATGGCTGATTGTGTTACTCTTATTGAACATCTAAAAAAGATCATTTTTGCAAAGACTAAGATTATGTTAGAGAAAGAATATATGGAACTTATGATAAGTAAAACATATCTTAAATATCTAAAATTTTAAAAGTATTTTGAAACTGCATAGAAATGACATAAAGAGTAGGCTGTTATGTTTTGTTTTTGTTTTTTTTTTTTTTTTTGGAGTTAAGGTGAGGTCATGCCTCAGGTCTGTTTATTCGAACATATTGTTACAGTT